TAAAAATACTTTTTCAATAATGAGAAAAGTGGTAGCTTCATTATGAAAACTCAGTTGATAAAAATAAGATCAACCGTAATGAATTTTTAATAAGAGTATTCATATTTGGATCTAAAGTGTTATTTTGAAGTTAAATTTGTGGGTAACAGAAAGAATATATATTTGCTATAAACAAAAATGCAATAACTTTTTTCAGAAAAGTGTTTTTTATGTACTTTCAGTGGCAGGGCACGAATAGATTAATAGAACACCTTGAATCGAAAGAATTATGAAGAGGTATTGTTCCTTGCTGCTGTATTCGTTATATTATATTTCTGGACATTTAACACAGTTTTCGAAAAGGAAAATTCAGAAAACAATATTTATAAGCGCGAATAACTATTATTATCTTAATATCTTATATTAACTGCAAACTCTCTCCGTTTTCTGAGAAAATGTTAGCTTTATATTCAAAGTAAGCATAATTAATGCTTTAATAAACAATGACTTTAACCACCGTTGTATATAAATAACTGCAACATACATGTATATATATTGAAAACTTTTTAATTATTCAAAGTTGTTCTTCAAAAAAATTACTTAAATTTTATTTACCGTTTACGTACCGGCCCCTTGTTTTGCCACATTGGAAAAAGTGCCTTAATAAAAACTGTGGTTTGCAAGTTCGTATAACAATTCAATGGAAATTTTCTCCATTACCAGCTTGTTTGATTACTAACCAAAGCTGGTTGATTTTAGAACAAGGTATTTATCAAAAAATATAATTTTGTATTATTGATATATTTTGGTAGACAGGAATATTCAGTTTCCCAGATTGTACGTGCTTAAATTGATAATTTTGAGTTTTTAACATTTAAAAAATGGTTAAGGTAGCATAAATTTTGCATTATCACTAGAAAAAAAATTTATTTTCAAAAAGTGTGAATTTTGTTGAGCTGCTGCAACCTTTAAAAAAATGAATAAAAATAAAAAAAACTATAAGTGGTAGCTAAGGTTTCTCGAAGCTATTAAAAATGTTAAAATTTAGCATCCACTTGAACATTTCACATGATTTTGCACCCAAATATATTATCTTGCAATTGAAACTTTTTGGTAGATACAAATGCCTAAGACCATTTACTTCTTCTCAATTTTGCTATTACTATAAAAGTGTCGGCAGCTATATTACAGACCATTATAAAAAATTTATTCAGTGATTTGTGAATGTTGTTTTAATTTGTAGTTAACTCTTCTGTTTTGACATCGCAATTTTACGTTTTAAATCGTAGCTGAAATAAAACACCAGTAATGATTGATCCCTGATATCCAATCTTAGGGGCACGATTTGATATGAACGAAGCACAACTGGAAAGGAAGTAATGAACAGAACTCTTCCATGAAATCGATCATCGAGTGAATAGATGCAAATGTGATTCATGCTGCAACAGAATCTGCAGTTCAGATAGAGATTCATGGTAATGATGTCCTTTCATTTGAACCCAGAAGGAGGATTGGAAGAATTGTTTAAAGAACATTTCAGAACTGCCAAATGATGTTGGTTAAGCGAGTTTACGTATTTGCATATCTTCGGATTGAACAATATGCTGTACTTCATGGAATTTCATAATTAGAAGTAGTTGAACTCCAAAAATGAGTAAATGTCTTCAAATATTCGTAAGGTTCTGATAGACAAAATGTTAAAAAATTATTTTTAAAAAATGTACTATTTTCCTCAAGATTTAAGTCATATATATATATCTATATATATA